GCAACAAGCCACGTGCGGTTCATGCTGGGGAACGCCGCCTTGATATCAAATGCCACGAGCAGGGGCATCCGACAGTCAGCGTCTTCGTGAAAACCAGCCGCTCTCGCTGTGTTCTGGCAGAAACTGCGGCCTCTGATGAACCCATGTTGGGTTGCGTGCGCTCGCTCTTGCGCTAACTCTGTTAGCGGGTGATTGATTGCTGACGCCGTCGCTTTGGCATCGCAGTTTTTGAAAGATAGCGACAGGGAGCTGAGGAGGCGAAGAACGATGGGGTGAGGCATTCAACGGTGGCTGGGACGGCCAGCCAGGCCGGGCACGAGAGGCAGTCTGGGCCAGGCGCCGAATTCCACCCACGCTTAAGGGCTTGGATGAGGGCATCCTTGGAAGGGATCGGCAGGTCAGCAGCTGGGAACGCAGGCGAAACTTCGCCAAGGAAAGCGTCGATTTCAGCCCGCGAAACGCGTTTGCCCGAGAAAATCGGTTCCAATGGAGTCGGAGCGCACGGGCAGCGTCTTCAGGCTCTCTGGCCACCGGTGGGGGCACTGAGCCTCCATCGCTGATCCTCGGGTTTGGGGCAATCTGACTGGTCGCGATGCCGCGCGAGACGAGACGGTTAGAAAATGGTGCCCAGAGCGCCGCTCGGCGCTGGAGGGTGCGTTGGATGCGTCGCTGCTCCTCGGCGGTAGGCTGGTCCTGCGCTCTGGCCGCGCGAACAGCCGCGAGGCGCTAGGGCCGCTCATGCCATGCTTGGCTATTGCAAACAACAGCGCTTTGAAACCCAGCCGCGTCGTGCAGCTGCAGGGGAGGCCCTGAACGCCCAAACATTCTCGCCCGAGCTCTGCGGCAGCAGCCAGTTGGCGAGCAGCGGCAAGGTCAGAGCGCCAGACGGCGCGGGCAGCTCCACGGGGCGCGAGCCCCCTGCCCTCCAGCACGTCGACGTCGCCCGTGTCCGGCGGGAGCTGCTGCAGCTCGTTGCGCGCCAGCTCAGCCGCCAGGAGCATGATCTGCGTCGTAGCATCGAAGCGCCGAAGGTCGGTCATCGCGTCCAGTTGAGCCTCGTTTAGCATCTTGGCGAGGAGAGTATTGTGCTGCTTGCGGCAGAAGGTGAAGTCAGGGATCGGGCACCGGTCTTCACTGGCGGCTTGCGGTTCTCGATCGCGAGCTTGATCACGGCGCAGTCACTGAGCCTCTCGTCCGAAGACATCGCCGAGTCCTGGGCGACGTTGAGCCGGAAATGGGGGCGGGGGACGTAGGCGGGATGGGTGGCAGCGACGGCGCGGTCGATCGCGGCGCCCGTCTGATGCTGCTCGGAGAAGGTCGGGACCTCAGAACTGACGTCCACCATGTTCGTTCGGGCCAGCAGCCGCCAAAATTGCCAGGTTTGCTGAAAGCGGTCCTCCTGCGTCTGACGTCGTTGCCGCGCTTGTGGCATCAGATGCGATTGTGAGGGCGCATCCGAAAAGTTGAACGATTCCATCGCCATTGAGGTGAAGCGAAACGGGTCCGATCGTGCCCATGTGGAATGCGTGGCCCACTCCGCTTGCGGGGTGTTTCTCTGGTCAGCCGTCATGTCGTAGTTGCGCGCGGTCGGGATGCGGAGCTCGCGCTCGGTGGTGATGTTGGAAGCCGCGAAGAGCTAAATGTGTCCGCCCAAGATCGAGCGCGTTGTAATCGCGGGTCTCGTGATCGAGGGCAACCATCCAGCTGCTTGATCTTGGCGAAGCGTCTCTCGGTCGGCGCGGGAGAGCCCAGGAACCGCGGCAGCAACTCCTCCAGCTCCGCGCATGTCCATGCCCCTTCGCAGCGGGGCATCCATAATAATCCATATAAAAGGCCGAGTGAGGAGAGCGCGCCAACATCATGTCTAAATCAGCTTGCGATCCATGAAGCTCCTGAATATGAACAACTGACCGAGATCTGAGTGCGTTCAAGCTTGCGGAACTTCTGGCGGCACCGAAAATGAATGCGACATAGGAGACCGCGAGCGTTCCATGAGACAATATGCAGCGGTGCGTCATGTTTGGTGGCCTCCCCGGGGGCCTAGCTTTCGTTCCCTACCTGGGCTCTGCCTAGAAGGGTTCTTACTCCCTGGGCTTAAAGGGGCCGGGCAGTGGTTAGCGCCCCAGGCGGTTCCCCCAGCATCCGCCCCGCGGTTCCCCCAGTTGCGCCCCCTTAGCGTAGCATAGCATAACATAGCCAAGCAAAGCATAGCATAGCAGAACATAGCATAGCGCAGCAAAGCATAGCACAGCACATCATATCATAGCCTAGCGCAGCTTAGCATAGCACAGCATATCATGGCATAGCATAGCGTAGCACAGCGCAGCAGGACTTAGCATAGCATAGTAGCTCATAGTATAGCATAGCATAGCGCAGCATAGCATAGCATAGCATAGCATAGCATAGCGCAGCATAGCATGGTAGGGCATAGCATCGCATAGCATAGCAACTAATGCTGCTTTCCTAGGGGCTCCAACTTCTAGGTAGGGTCGCACTGGGGTAATTATATAATCCACGTGGATGTGTCGATCGAGACGAAGGCGGTCTCGAATTTATGCTCCACCAAGTCTTTGTTGATGCCCATTGTTGGTGACCGCAACTGGGTCCAAATTGAGCTTCGAGTGTTCTCGTAGGCCTTGCGGCTGAATTTCCGCGATTGGCATCGCCCCTTGCTGCGCAATGCCCGACTGCCGCAGCGTCTTGAAGTCCATGCCAGGGAAGAGCTCCCCGAGGATGCCCGCGACACGCTTGGTCTGGAGCTCCTTGCGCACATGCTCCGGTGACTTGTCACTGGAGACAAAGAGCGGAGTGTCCGCGCCGTGGACGTTGGGCGCAGAAGGTCCGCCATCGTCCACCAACGAGTTTGAGTGCACGAGCCAGAGCGAGCGCCCTTGGGCGTGCGACTCCAGGACCTCCGACGCGCTGGGGCGTCTTCGAGTAGCTTGCCTTGTTCTGCTGTAAGTTGGGCGCCTTGAGTCCATTGCGCTGTTGCTCGTCGACCTTCGGCTGGTTGGATGTTACTAGGCGCTCCGATCTGGAAGAGCACGGGGTTGGGCGGCTTTCGGTCATAATTTGCCACGCTGGCTAGATCGATGGTAGGTAGCTGGGCTTCAGCGAGCGCTGCTGCTGCTTCCAATCTGCGCACGGTTTGGCGAAGGTCTTGCTGTTCTGCTGCTTGTTGGTCCTGTTGTCTGCGAATGCTGCCGGGGTCACGTTCTGCTTGTTCAAGTCTGGGCTGCTGCGGGGCATCGTAATGCTCGATTGTGGTACGACGATGATGTTGGACATTTCCCCAGGTGGAGTCGAAGAGGTTGCCGAGCTGCTGCGTGGCCATTGCTAGCTGCGAATTTACGACACCTTCGATGGCGCGCGAGAAATTGTGTAGTACGGGTCCTTGCGGAAGCCGAGGGAGCTGTAGAGGTTGCCCAGGTGGTCCAGGGACGTCTCGCTGGGACCGTGGGGGTCGCGGAACTGCAGGGTCGTGGCCGGCTGGTCGTGTAGCTGGTTGTGGATGGGCTGGAGCTTGCGCAGCGCTTGCTCGAAGTTCTTGTGATGGAAGCGTTGGGGCCATTTTAAGTTGCTGTGCCAACTCGGCGGCTGCTGTTGCGTCGAGATGACGGCCCAACCACGGTCTGGCGGCGGGTGGGACTGACAGGGCTCACTCTCGGTCTCCTCCTGCACCCCCTGAGCGGCCAGCCCGTCGCCCCGCAGCAACAAATCGGCTGGCGCCCGACTGCCAGGGATCTCTGTGTTGAAGAGGGCCACGTCTGTCAGAGTGGACCCGAGTGCGATCGCTAGCGTTTTCCCGAGGTTACCGTCGCCGAGCCTGACGGGCGCCGCTGCGACGCGCAACGCCTTCCGAGGCTCCGCCGCTTCGTGTCCCACGGGATCCAGTTGCCCTGGTGTCGTCCGAGCTGGAAGCAGACATTGTTCGGGATGAACGTAGCACAGGGAGCTGTCACTGATGGATGACTGGAATGCGCGGAGGAAGGCCGCGAAAATAGTGTAGCCCAGGAGAGTCGCGTTCTTTGCCAGCTTCGGGAACGTCGCTGCAGGGCCTGGGGCGCAAGGCTCGGACCAGGACTTGGATATGAAAGTGCCAGGGGCGCGAGGCTCGGACCCGGACTTGGATGTGGAGGTGCCTGGGGCGCGAAGCTCAATCCAGGACTCGGATACGGAAGTAAGTGCCAGGGGCGGACCTGGTCTCAGAGCTCTTGAAGAGTTTGAATGCACGATGGGAGTCGGATGGGCGCCTACCCCTCAGAAGCAGGGGAATGGGAACCATCTTGGCCTTGAGCCAAAATTGCTACGGGTGGTGATGATGATAATGATAATGATGTTGATGATGATGATGATGATGATGATGATGATGATGATGATGATGATGATGATGAGGAGGGGGAGGAGGAGGAGGCTGATCATGATAAGAGGGAGGGGGAGGAGGAAGGAAAGAGTGGACGCGGGGCGCTTCTCTTGAAAGCGAGGACCCAACACCACAGGACGGTTGGGAAAATGCACACACACACACACACACACACCCGAGCGATGCCAAGCACTCGGGTGCTAATTTCGAGTGAATCGGTGCAGATTTCCTCACTCGCCTTGTCTGGGTGGGCGCTCTCTCAGAGCCCGATGGCGACCTCACGCCGCCGCTCACGCGGGCAGCCAGCGTGGCACACCGCGTGGAGAAGAGGACGCAGGGGGAACCAAAAGGTGCCGATGCAGCTACTCCACGGACCTCTCTCCAGGCGTGCGTTCTGACCAGAGTTTCGAGGAGAATCCAGCCGTTGGCTCCCAACTTCGCGCTTCGCGCTCCGCGAAGCGCGAATGACTTCGCGCTCTCACGCCGCCCCCCCACAGGGAGAAAGGGAGGACGAGGAGGAGGGGGAGAAGGAACGAGGACCGCGAAGCGCGAATAACTTCGCGCCCTCGTGGGAGCCCTTGAGGGCTCTCCAGGGCGAGCCGCGGCATCGTCGGAGACCTGGGTTTCACCGCCCGGCCTTCTGATAGCACGGCAGCACCGCGCGAGCCTTGCCCGGGCCAGAGGCGACGCCGCCGAAGGCCGCGAGGGCCGCCGCCGCCGCCGCGAGCACAGCGGCCGCGGGCAGGCGGCGCTCCCAGGGGGCGCTGAGGTGCACCTCGTGGCGGGGAAGAGGGGGAGGAGCGAGGGCGAGAAGGCCGAGAAAGACGAGGGCGAGGGCGAGGAGGTGGAGCCCGGAAGCGCGGAGGACGAGGAGGACGAGGCCGAGGAGGTGGATGACGAGGCCGAGGAGGCGGAGGAGGAGGAGGAGGAGGAGGAGGAAGAGGAGGGGGAGGAGGAGGAGGAGGAGGAGGAGGAGGAGGAGGAGGAGGAGGAGGAGGAGGAGGAGGAGGAAGGGAGGAGAAGGAGGAGGAGGAGGAGGAGAAGGACGATGAGGCCGAGGACGAGGAGGAGGACCGAGGGAGCTACTCGGAGCCCTACCACACTCCTGAAGAAAAGCTTGACGAAAGTGGCCGTGGGCTTCGGGAAACGCTTCGGGGCCGCATCGGAGTCTTCATGCGACTGTCTGGCCATGGGGTCATCTTCTCGCAACGGCGGCCTCCGCCCCGCCTCCCCGCCCAATGTTGCATCGAACCCCCCAGTGCAACAGCGGCCCCGTCAACAGCTAACTTTGGATTGGAGCAGGGTGGCTGCTGAATCGCTCCGTTGAGTTTTCCTTCGGGAGGGTTGTAAGAGACCTCCTTCCTCATCTTGCTTCGGCGGTGGATAAACCTCACTGCAATAAACCTCCAGTTAATGAAAACGGCCTAGGACCGAAACCGACGGACCTGGACCCGCAAAAATGTCGGCCGCGACGCCCTCTCGCGAACCGAAAACGGTCAACTCCTTGATCGACGCGTCAGGGTAGGAGGTCTATCCACCTCCTATTTGCTTCACAGGTTCCAGTGGAACCGTCCACATCAATCTGCATAGAGGAACGAACAAGCAACTGCGCAAGCATCAACTTTCGAAGCTCGGCGCGGAAATCTCGGATCGGCGCTAGACCCCCCCTGGCCGCGCCGGCGCGCTCTGCGCTTTTTGTATTTTTTCTCTCTCGGCGGAACCGGGTGAAATTCCGTGCCCGCCGGTGACTGACTGACTGACTGGTTGATTGACTGACTGATTGACTGACTAAACGTCAGGAAGGCACCTTGAACAACACATTTCAAACCGCCCGCGGGCGCGCAACCGCAACTGGGCGACACATTTCGACCCGTCCGCGGGCGCGCAACTGAAACCGCAACTGGGCGACACAATTCAACCCGCCCGCGGGCGCGCAACCGCAACCGCAACCGGGCGGCACATTTCGACCCGCCCCCGGGCGCGCAAGCGCAACTGGGCGACACATTTCAATCCTCCCGCGGGCGCGCAACCGCAACCGCAACTGGGCGACACATATTTCAACCCGCCCGCGGGCGCGCAACCACAACTACGCGACACATTTCAACCCGCCCGCGGGCGCGCAACCGCAACCGCAACTACGCGGCACATTTGAACCCGCCCGCGGGCGCGCAACCGCAACCGCACCTGGGCGACACATTTCAACCCGCCCGCGGGCGCGCAACCGCAACCTGGGCGACACATTTCAACCCGCCCGCGGGCGCGCAACCGCAACTGGGCGATACATTTCAACCCGCCCGCGGGCGCGCAACCGCAACCGCAACTGGGCGACACATTTCGACCCGCCCGCGGGCGCGCAACCGCAACCGCACCTGGGCGACACATTTCGAGCCCGCCCGCGGGCGCGCAACCGCAACGCACCGGGGCGACACATGGGCGACACATTTCGACCCGCCCGCGGGCGCGCAACTGCAACCGCAACCGGCGACACATTCCAACCCGCCCGCGGGCGCGCAACTGCAACCGCAACTGGGCGACACATGTCGACCCGCCCGCGGGCGCGCAACCGCACGCGGGCGACGCATGTCGACTCGCCCGCCGGCGCGCAACTGCAACCGCAACTGGGCGACGCATGTCGGCTCGCCCTCGGGTGCGCAACCGCGCCCGCAACTGGGCGACACATTTCGACCCGCCCGCGGGCGCGCAACCGCAACCGCAACCGGGCGACGCAATTCAACCCGCTCGCGGGCGCGCAACCGCGACTGGGCGACGCATTTCGACCCGCCCGCGGGCGCGCAAACCGCACACTGGGCGACACATTCCGACCCTCCCGCGGGCTGCGCCCAAAACCGCCAACCGCCACCTGCGGCGGCACAGAGGCAACCCGCCGCGGAAGCGCGCAACACCGCACCGCACCTGGGCGACACATTTCAACCGCCGCGGGCGCCCCCCTTTCCTCCCAACCGCAAACCGCACCTGGGCGACACATTTCAACCCGCCCGCGGGCGCGCATCCGCAACCGCAACTGGGCGCCACATTTCGCCCGCCCGCGGGCGCGCAAGCGCAACCGCACCTGGGCGACACATTTCGACCCGTTCGCGGGCGCGCATCCGCAACCGCACCTGGGCGACACATTTCAACCCGCCCGCGGGCGCGCAACCGCAACCGCACCTGGGCGACACATCTCAAACAGCCCGTGGGCGCGCAAGCGCACCTGGGGGACACATTTCAACCCGCCCGCGGGCGCGCAACCGCAACCGCAACTGGGCGACACATTTCGACACGCCCGCAGGCGCGCAACCGCGACCGCACCTGGGCGACACATTTCAACCCGCCCGCGGGCGCGCGAACGCAACTGGGCGACACATTTCAACCCGCCCGCGGGCGCGCAACCGCAACCGCACCTGGGCGACACATTTCAAACCGCCCGCGGGCGCGCGACCGCAATTGGGCGACACATTTGAATCCGCCCGCCTGCGCGCAACCGCAACCGCAACTGGGCGCCACATTTTGACCCGCCCGCGGGCGCGCAATCGCAACCGCGTCTGGGCGACACATTTCGACCCGCCCGCGGGCGCGCAACCGCAACCGCACCTGGGCGCCACATTTCGACCCGCCCGCGGGCGCGCAACCGCAACTGGGCGACACATTTCAACCCCCGCGGGCGCGCAACAGCAACCGCGGACACATTCAATGCGCCCGCGGGCGCGCAACCGCAACCGCACCTGGGCGACATTTGAACCCGCCCGCGGGCGCGCAACCGCAACCGCAACTGGGCGACACATTTCAATCCGCCCGCGGGCGCGCAACCGCAACCGCACCTGGGCGACACCCACCCGCGGGCGCGCAACCGCAACCGCACCTGGGCGACACATTTCGACCCGCCCGCGGGCGCGCGCCGCGCAACCGCACCTGGGCGACGCATTTCGACCCTCCCGCGGGCGCGCAACCGCAACCGCACCTGGGCGACGCATTCCGACCCTCCCGCGGGCGCGCGACGTCCGAGCGATAGCCCGGGGGAGTGCCGCAGCCCGTGGCCTGGCGGGGCGCCGCCCGCCCGCGGACGGCCGTGCGGCACGGCGGGCGGAGGGCGGGCGGGCCGCTCCTGGCCAGTGCCTGGCAGAGGACCGAGGAGGAGGGAGGAGGGAGGGGGGGGAGGAGGAGGGGGAGGAGGAGGGGGGGGGGGAGGAGAGGAGGGAGGGGGAGGAGGAGGGGGAGGAGGGGGGGGGGAGGAGGGGGGGAGGAGGAGGAGGAGGCGGAGGAGGAGGAGGAGGGGGAGGAGGAGGAGGAGGAGGAGGAGGGGGAGGAGGAGGAGGGGGACGCGGCGCATGCGTCGTGGCGGCGTCGTGGCGGCATCGCCGGCCGCGAGAGCGCTCGGCTTAAGTCGGGCCTGTCCCCCTACAGGGGGATCTTCGACGACAAATAAAAAATACCCCAAAAATGATCCCAAAAATAGTCCGGGGACTATTTTTGATGTATTTTTTTTACCTTTTCGGGGGACAGGCCCGACATAACGCTCGGCACTGCTTCCAGCACCTGGAGGCCGACTGCGGGCCCTGAGGCCATCGGAAGATCGATCCGGCTTGGAAGCCTCGCCGCAATGGACCTCGGGAAGGGTATATGAGAACACATGCAGGTTGAATTGGCGCTTCCGCGCACCTCCCCAAAAAGGGATCGACAACTTCCACGCCGGAGGTCGAACCCGGATTTCGGCAGCAAAAGGACTTCCAGAGGGGAGGACGCGAGCCTCCAGGATGGGGACCGAACGCCTGCCGCAAAAGTTCTTGATCCTGTGAGCCGCTGGCGAGGGTTGGCGATGGAGGATCGTGGATGAAAGGTCGAGGGGGGGAGGGGGGGGGGACGGTAAGGGGACAAAAAAATGAAACCCCTTCGTCTTCGGCCCCGCGTCCGTCCCCCCCCCCCCCCCCCCCCCCCCCCAATTTCAAAGTTGGGTTCGGCCTCTCGGAGGCCCTGGGGGTTCCACTTTTTTTGTCCTCTCACGCCCGTGCTGCCAAATGCTTGAGGCCAACTTTGAAAATTGGGGGGAGGGGGGGGCGTGGTGTCAAGGGTTCCACTTTTTTGTCCATCTACGGGAGGACCCGAAAACTTCATAACGGAGGTCCGAAGCTCAGCCTTTGACCCTCCAAACTCGGAGGTTCGGCCTCCCCAGAATGGGTTGGCGGCGCGCCCGGGGGGAAAGTGACAAGGAGCAGGCCTTCTCAGCAGGCGGCCGGGCTCCTCAGAAGCCCTCCGGCCTTTCTGAGAAGTCTTCTGTGTCTCCGGGGAAAGCTCAGAAAACGTCTCGCCTTCTGAGAAGGCCCACCCCTTCTCAGAAAGACGGGGGTGGGAGGATGGGGCTGGGAGAAATGATCAGATCATCCGTGCCACCGCGTCTGAAGACTGTGCTTACTACACAATCGTGCCCTGTATCTTCCCACCCCCCTTCCTCCCACCCCGAAAACTGCCTTTCTGACCTTCTTTCGCTTCCCCCCCCCGGCTGGCCGCCGAGAGCGGGAGCTCTCGATCCTCGGCGCTCGAGGAGGGTCGAGCAGGCTCGATGCGCGCTTTCGGCGGCCCGTCGGCAGGCGGCGCTCCCGGGGGGGGTGGGGGGGGGGGGTGGGAGGCGGCGCTCGGGGGGGGGGGGGGGTCGCCTAGGACATGGGCTGTCGGGCGCCGATCGTGCCTGCCATCCTCTACCCCCGACCCCCGCGGGTCATGAACGAACTCATGACGGACGGTGTTTCGCTGTTTCTGGCCTCTGGGGGTCCTTACTGGGCCTCGGGGCCGTCAAAATCGGCTCGGGGTGAAAAACTGGTCCTGGGGAGTGGGTGGAGACCTATGGGGGTCGACGTTTTCAGAAATCGTGACGTCGGGGGTCTAGCATCTGTTCCAAAGGAAGATCGAACGTCTTCAGAATGGAAGTCCGACGTCCATTCTGAAAGCTGTGTTCCTGCATTCTGGAACCTTTCTGCCTCCAGAATGGAAGTCCTGCCTCCAGACTGAAAGTCCAACCTCCAGAGTGGAGGTGTGTGGATCTTCTGGGCTGGTGTGGTGGCACTCTATGGCCAGGGTCCTGGGGCGCGACCGTGGCCGAGGCCGGGATCCGCCCCGAGATGCTGGTACGAACGCGCCCTTGGACAGGGTCCAAGGGCCGATTTGGCAAGAGACCCGCTGGCGGGGATCGGGAATCGGGGATCGACAAACCGCGCATGGACAAATAAATAAAGCCTTTCACTCAACGCCCACCCCCCCTGAATTCAAACTTGGTCCCACGCGTTCGGCAGCACAGTCGTGATAGGACCAAAGAAACTAGCGAGGCCCAACCCAACTTTGAATCAGTGGCAAGGGGGGAGGCCGAACACAGGGTCCAATATTGAAGGGTCCTATGTAATTTCCCACCCTCCTGTGTTGGGTTCTCGTTTGGAAATAGAGAACTGTGGTCTCCAATCCTTTTCCTCTCATCTCCTCCTCCTCTCTTCTCCTCCTGCCTCCTGGCCTTCCTTGCTCGTGCCTTTGCTCATGGGCGGCTGCGAAGTGCGCAACCGTCACCACTTTCGTGGGCTCGTCCAACGGAACCGGGTGCCACGCGCACGCCCTGGGCTCCTGGGAGGTCCAGCGGGGCTGGGTGCCACGCGCATCCATTTGAGACCTCGTTCCTCCTTGCGTGGCTGCGACTGCGCAACCACCGCCACTTTCGCGGGCTCCTGGGAGGTCCAGCGGCATCGGGGGCCACGCGGACCCATTTGAGACCTCGCTGTTCCCTGGGTCGCTGACTGCGCAAGGGTCGCCAATTTCGTGGGCTCGTTCCTCGGAGATCTAACGGAGTCGGGCGCCACGCGCATCCAGCCGAGACTTCGCGGCCCCCTTTCGTCCCTTTCGCAAGGCTGTCGTCCCTTTCGCGGGCTCCTGGAACGACCGGCGGAGTCGGGGGCCACGCTCACCAGTTGAGACCTCGCCCTCCTGGGTTGCTGCGAATTCTGCAATGTGTCGCCATTGCCGTGCGCTCCTGGGAGGTCTAACGCAATCGGGTGCCCCGCGCACCCACTTGGGACCTCGTTGTTCCCTGGGTCGCTGCGAAGTGCGTAAGTGTCGCCATTTTCGCGGGCTTTTGGGAGGTCCAACGCACTTGGGGACCACGCGCATCCATTTGAGACCTCGCGGCCCCCCTGGTGGTTGGGAAGTGCGCAACTCTCGTTACTTTCGTGGGCCCCTGTGAGGTCCAGCGAAATGGGGAGGCTGCCAACTGCGCAAATGTTGTCGTTTTCGTGTGTTCCTGGGAGGACCAGCGGACTGGACTTGTACGCGCACCCAGCTGAAACCTCGCGGCCCCCTGGGTGACTGCACGCCACCGCCGCCACTTTCGCTGGCGCCTCGGAGGTTCAATGGAATGGATTTGTTTGCGCACCTACTTGAAGCCTCGCTGCTCCCTGGGGGGGTGGCAACTGTGCCTGCGAACTGCGCAGCTGTCGCCGCGAGGACCAGCGGAGTCGGGTCCCACGCGCGCCCATTTGAGACCTCGCTGCCCCCTGGGTAGCTGCGAACTGCGCAAATGTTATCATTTTCGCGTTCTCCTGGGAAGAACAGCGGACTGGATTTGCACGCGCATCCAGCCGAGACCTCGCTGCCCCGTGGACGCCTGCGAACTGCGCATCTGCCGCCACTTCCATAGGCTACTGGGAGGTCCAGCGGAGCCGGGGGTCATGCGCACCAGTTCGAAACCTCGCTCTTCCTTGGGTCGCTGCGAAATGCGCAACTGTCACCATTTTCGCAAGCTCCCGGAAGGCCCGGAGGAGTCGGGGCCATCAGCGCCCATTTGAGATCTCTCTGCTCCCTGGGAGGCTGCTGCTTGGGCGGCGCCTTTAGCTATGTTTGCATGCGACGGGCGACGACAGGTCGAACATGAAAGAGCGCGCGCCCACATGGCGGGTGGTGCTGTTCTGTCAGTCAGCGCGCGGCGCTGTTTCATCACAGAGCGCAGGGCGCTGGAGCGTCACGTAGCGCATGGCGCTGTCTTCAGGGGCCCATTCGCCCCCCATCCCGAGGCGCCCGTCACCTGCAGCGATAGCGCGGGCGAGCCGAGCAGATGTAGCGTATGGCGCTGTTGCTCTCACCAGCGTTTCTACCTCTTCACTCGCCGTCCTCCATGCCCTTCTCCCCCCTACTCGTGCTCCTGTTCCTCCTCTCTCTCTACACTTCTGTTCCCCGTCCTACGCTGCGCAGGTAGGCGACGTGCGCGGCCCGACATTGCATCGCCTTGATACCTCCCCATGTGTTGTTCGCATGAAGTGTTCAAGGTGGATCACTGTTTCTTTCGGTAAGAGGACAAGTCAAGTACCCGAGACGCACCCTTGCTTACGTGCAAGTCTCAGGCCCCAGCACCGTCAGGAGTCGATCCAGGGTAAGTTGACCCTGGGAGGACAGAAGTGTCGAGAGTTTGGGGTGGTTTGGGCCCATTTCTGGGTCTCTGGACAATGCATGAGGGTGGGGGAGCGCCGAAGTGCGCGTAGGCTAAGTGTACCTCGCGGACGGGAGCGGGGATCGAAGATCGGATCCGCCACACCTCCCAGGTAGATCAGAGACCCGCGAAACGGAGGTTCGACCTCCACTCTGGATGTTTTTTCCCCCGTCCATTCTGAACATGCTTTCTTCCAAGATCCCAGACCTCGGCGTCCCCGGAGCTCTGGCCCACTTCCTGGAGACCCAAAGTTGCTGCGGTTAAAAAGCTCGTAGTTGGATTTCTGCCGAGGACGACCGGTCCGCCCTCTGAGAAGTATCTGGCTCGGCCTGGGCATCTTCTTGGAGAACGTCCAATGGAGGCCCCCGGACGCCGAAAACGACGGAATACCTGGATGTCCGGGATGGAGGCCCCACCTCCAAATCGGAGGATTTCCATCGTCTGGTCGGGGACGCGGGGGGGCCGCCCACGGCGCACCTTGTAGTCCGCGATGAGCTCCTCTTCGGAGCTCCACTGGGACATCCACTCGAGGTCCTCCTGTCGGAGAAACTCAGTTCCCCAGACCTCCGACGAGATCATTGTTCCAATCGCGACGTTGCTCCTGAGTTGCGGCCTCGGGGGGCGCATCGGGCCGGGGGGCAGCCTGGAGACAGCCTTTGGTGCCCGGGTCCCGAGCTGGCCCCGAGCGACTCGGTCAAGGGGGAGGGACGGAGGCAGGTCCGCTCAAAATCGGCCTCTGGACCCCTCCCGGTCCGTTTCGAGCTTGACCACCTACCAGACCACCCCAACCCAACCCGAAGACCCGAATTCGACCCGAATTTCGGGTTGGGGGGGGGTACGGGTTCCATGTGTTTTTTCAGCGTTCCCCGACCCCCTCCCCACTGGAAATGGAAGGCAAATTGAGGCCTTCGGGTTGGGTTGGGGTGGTTTGGTAGGTGGTGATAGTTTTTCGCCCCGGATCCGTTTTGGACGGACTCGGAGGTGGCTGTGTGCACGGGCCTGTCGAGGAACAGCCCAAGCATGATGGAGATGTTTGGATGATGCCTTTAAGACATGTGCGGGCCGCGTGGTGCTGACATTGAAACTGGTTCGTGGTGCCTTAGAGCATGACCACGCGCGCAGTAAAAATAGTTTCGGGGTCGAAATGATAGCCTGGCGCGCTTGCCGTTGGAAGGCTCGTTCGCGCATAGCACAGTCGCCCTGTCCGACCCAGGGGGGGGTTACAACGACCGCGATAAGAGAGCGGGACGTTAAGCCCATCTTGACGGGCTGCGAGTTTCCTCGCTCCTTCCCTACCTCGTCGTGGTCGTCGCCCCCCCCGCCCTGGGTTGGACAGGGCCTTGCGCCGCGTGCAAGCAAGCGTTCTGACGGCAAGCGCGCCACGCTACCACTCCGACTCCGAAACCATCTGAGATGCTCGCACCTCGCGCGGTCCCTCGAAGCCGTCATGCACCATGGTCGTGGTCCCCCTCTTGGGGCCGTCTGGGGGCCCTCTTGGGCCGTCTTGGGCGCCTCTTGGGCCGTCTGGGGGCCCTCATGGGCCCTCTTGGGCCGTTTTGGGGGCCTCTTGGGAGCCTCTTGGGCCGTCTTGGGGCGGTCTTGGGGGCCTCTTGGGCCGTCGCCAACCGCCGTGAAGTCTCCAACGTGCCATAGGCCCACTGTCATCATTCCTGAAACACGGTTTCCCGCACGGTTTCCCGACGGGCACGCGTGCCCACCCGTCCGCCGGCGCCCGGAGACCGAACCAGAAGCAATTCTCGATTCGCGGGTCGAGAGCGCACCTCTTCCGGTCGAAGCTAATAAAGGGAAATTGGGACACACAAATAAATACACACAAATAAAAATATTCCCCATATTTTCCCATATTTTCTGGGTTTTTGTCTTCCCCCCCAATTCCCATATTTTCCAACATTTTCCTCGGAATCGATGATTAATTGTGTCTGTGTGTTTTTTTCCTCCTGAGCTAAGCGGGCCGCGCGAAGCTTGACTTAAACAGAGAGGGAGGAAAAGGGGGGCGCAGCCTCAGCACGAGGCCGGGAGGAGGCAAAGCCTCGGGATCGGGCGGTGCCGCAGTCGACGCACTTGCAAAGGAGCGCCTTTCTGGCGACCGAACGAACAGCACAACTCCTCGAACCCAGCGCCTCGGACCTCGCCTCCCCCCCCCCCGTGCTGGTCGGAACCGGTGCCTGGGTCACCTCAGACCCCCACGCCGGCCCCAGGAGGCAGGGCGCCAGCACAGTCGGGGCGTGGAGCTAAGGAGCCCTGAATAAGGAGCGAGGTCCCCTTTTTCTCATAAGTGAAGCGTCGATTCCCCATGGGAAACCTCAGGAACACCAAGGGCAACCTCTGAAGCAATCGAGGAACACCGAGCCCCTCCCCAACGAAAAGGGTTCCTTCCTCAGCGCCCCGGCTGTACCGCTTCCACTGGGAAGCGGCCTGGGCCTCTGCGGGCCGGGAGCCGACAAAAATCGAGGCCCTCTCTTCCTTGCGCTGGCGGCGCCGACGAGGGGGGCGGCCCGCCAGGAAGGCACCCGCGGCTTCTCGGAAGCCAGGCCCCTGCGAGGAGCCCCCCGCCAGTTGCGCGACGGGCCCCCCGGGCTTCTCTGAAGCCCCGCCCCCCCCCGCCCCCCGACTGCTGGGAGACACGCACGGCTCGAGTTTGGGGGGCTCGAGTCTGCCCGACGGGGCCGTCAGGAAAAATTGCCGGACCTGGTCCGAAATTTGGCGCGCGACCTCCCGCGGCGACCGTCTCCCGGAAGTCTGGCCAGCAGAACTCAAGCCAGGACCGTCAGAGGAGGCGGCAGGCCCGAGTTCTGGCAGACGCGAGTCCTGCGTCCTGTCGGGTGCGTCGAAGAGGGGGCGGCCTGGAAGAGGGGGTTCAGCGAATCATGGCCCGATGCATCTGCGCGGACGAGGTCAAAAAGACAGGAGACGTGCTGAAAGAAAGCCAGGGGGCCATGGAATCTGGGAGATTCCCCGACCCTGGCCATGATATCTACCCCCCAATCCCCAACCCCCCTCTTCGACGCCCCCGGACGACATTTCCCAGAGAAGGGCAATCGGCATACGCACATAAACTGTGGAAGGTCCGCGCGGATCTCATGGAGCGTCGCTGGGCCCCCCCTCCTCAGCGCGCTGGAGGCGCCGCCAGGGGGGGTGGGGGTGGCGCCGGCCCAAGAAAAATCCACAGGGACCTCCCAGAGTTCACGTGTACGCAGATCTTGGACGCCCGAGTTATCCGGGGTAACTCGGGTCTGGGGTAACTCGGGTTTGGGTTCCCGAAAAACCAACCCGAGTTAGCCCTGACCCGAGTTACCCCTGATGATTCGGGGCCCTGGACGCCCGAAATATCCGGGGTAACTCGGGTCCGGGATAACTCGGGTTCGGATTCCCGAAAAACGAACCCGAGTTAACCCTGACCCGAGTTACCCCGGATGATTCGGGGCTCTGAAGATCTTCCTTCTTCGAACTTCCCTGATCCTTGTCCACTGGCCCCTGGACGTCCGCGTGCTGCTGCACCTCTCGGCGGCGCGCACAGAAGGGGGTTATATAGGGGGAGTTTGGGAGGCTTCTCAGAAGGAGGCTGCTTCGTGGGCCTTACATCCAGGCAGTGCCCGCGCCTGCTATGAGAAGCAGGAGTGCTTCTGAGAGAAGGCTTCCCCCCCACCCTTACCCCCCTCTGCGCGTGGCCGAACCTCCCTGCTCGTCACGAGGTACCCGTCGCCGAACTCCGCGGGTGTCCTCGCCGACGCCGCGCCCGCCTCGCAGGGGGATCCGCCGGCACGGGCCCGGGGGAGCCGGGGTGAAGGTGGCGGGAGCGGCGGAAGGCGGCGGAAGTGCAAGGCAGGGGCATCCGAGGGTCAGAGGAGGGCTTCGAGGAGCGAGGCTGTCGAGGGTTTTCGTCGTTCGCGGCTCGCTCTGGCTGTCCACTCATGCGACAGCCGTTCGATCCACCCGACCGACCGACCAGCCGACCGGACGACCAGACAACGACCGACGGCGACGACCGACGAATGACAACGACGGCGACGACGACCGACCGACCGACCGAACGAATGACCGATCGACCCGACGGCCGAACGAATGACCGAACGAATGACCGAAGGACCGACGACGACGACGACGACGACCACCCAAATACTCGACCAACCGATCGAGCGATCGACGACGACGGCGACGACCGACCGGCCGACCGAACGATCGACGACCACGACGACGACGACGTCGATCGACGGCGACGACCGACAACAGACAACGACGACGGCACCGACCACCGACCGACCGACCGACCAACGACCACCGAACGACGAGGACGACGACCGACGGCGACGACGGACGGACGACGACGACAGACCGACCGGCCAACAGCGACGAACGACGACGACGACGACGACGACGACGACGACGACGACGACGACGAAGACATCGACGGACGGACCGACCGACCGACGACGACGACTCCGACGGACGCCGTCATAAGGTGCTGGAGGGCCAAATTTGGAAGGCCGACCGCGAGCGGCCGAGGCCAAATTCTAGAACGGCCGAGGTCAACTTCTGGATTTGGCCGACCGCGAGCGGCCGAGGCCGAAGTCGAGAACGCGCGGGCCGGGCAGGATTCTAGAAAGGAGCGCTGCGAGGACGCGGCCCCCACCTCCCCCTCCCCCCCCCTCTTGGAGAGGGGAGTTCCGCTTTCAGTAATATATATATATATATATATATATATATATATATATATATATATATACATATACATATGTGTATATATACACATATAGTTACACAGTGTGTATATATTTATGTGTATACATATTGTGTGTTTTATATATATATAGAGATATACACATATGTGTTTATATATGTATATATATATATATATATATATATATATATACCCTGCCCCACCTTTTTGCGTGCGGACACGCCAATGGTCAGAGTAGGCTATACCCCCCTCAAACCCCCCAGCTTCTGTACGCGCCGGGATGCAAGGGTACCCTACGCTACGCATTTCCTAGGCGGCAAGCACGCGGTGCCTACCGCACCGCATGCTTGCCACCTAACGCGTGCGAGGTGGTCCTCTACCGTTCGCATACAGCAATCTGGGGAGGGGGCCTACGCTATCTTCTGGGCTACGGCACCAGCAGATAACGTGCCTCAACACGGAAGGGGTGGACCGCGGGTGGGAGCCCAAACAGGCTACGGACGTGTTGGGGCGGCGTGTCCTTGCCAAAGGGGGGGGGACGGGTATACCCATACAGGGGACCTGTATACAGACATACCCTGCCCCACCTTTTTGCGTGCGGACACGCCAATGGTCAGAGTAGGCTATACCCCCCTCAAACCCCCCAGCTTCTGTACGCGCCGGGATGCAAGGGTACCCTACGCTACGCATTTCCTAGGCGGCAAGCACGCGGTGCCTACCGCACCGCATGCTTGCCACCTAACGCGTGCGAGGTGGTCCTCTACCGTTCGCATACAGCAATCTGGGGAGGGGGCCTACGCTATCTAACTCCCCCACCTACTGGCCTTGAGGCTTACGTAGGCCGTCCCGTGTTTAACTCCCACCCCCCCCCCAGAAAATTGCATACTTATGCCGGTCCTTTCACTAATTCGGGGGTGTGCGGGGGGGCGATCCACAGGACTGCCAGGGGGGTCTGGACACGCCCCCCGCGCCAGGGCACAGCCCTGACGCGGGGCAGGCACCGCCCAGGGCGGCCCTTGACGTGCCAGACATCCCCCAGCAGCCCCTTGGTTCGGCCCCCCTGCACACACCCCCACTCCACACCCTTCTCCGGACACGCGCTCTCCATACGGCACGGCGGCCTTTTCTGGGGTCCAAGGACCGTGAGGACGGCACCCAGGAGGGGGACAACACTCTGCAGCCGCCGAAGCGGCGCGGCAACGCCCAAAGGGCAGGCCGCGCAGAATGTTATCCCTCCCTGGGTCCCGTCCTCACGGCCGTTGGACCCCGAAAAGGTCGGCACGTTCGAGGAGGAGGTGACGGGAGGAGGCGACGGGAGGAGGTGACACGACGCACGGAGGAGGTGAGACGGGCGTGGGCCCCAAACAGAGAACGCCCCACACAACGGGCGGGCCCCGGGAACCCGAAAAGCCAGGACCCGAGAAAGGGGGGCCACGCGGCCCCACGGCGGGAGGGCGGTTATCTTCGCCGCAGCGAAGATAAACGCCCGATTTTAGGCAAGCGCTGTTGGGCGCGATACAGTGGCCTTTTGCAGTGGCCAGCTGCAGGAGCCGCAGTCCTCGCGCAACGGCGCGGGCTGCCTCGCTCCCGGGCTGGGCGCGCACCGAGTCGGCCACCGCGCCCTCTATGTACAGGCGCGCCGTGGCCGAGGAGGCCCACCGACCCGCCACGAGGGTCGCCTCCATGGAGCCGCTCCTGACGAAGAAGGCGCTCGCCCCACCACGCCGGAAACTGTGCCGCGTGATGGGCCCCGCCAGGCCCAGGCCCCTCGCCAAGGCGCTGAGGGCACCACGCAGCTGGGACGGCGTCCTCCACGAGATCCGCGCGCCTGCGCCAAGGCCGCGGACCGCGATCCGCAGGAGCGCCACGGCCATCCTGCTGCGGATGACGACCGCCTCCGCGCAGTCCTTGCCTGCCGTGGTCTTGGACGAGCTGATCCGGACCACGAACAGCTCGCCGCGGTCGACGATGTCGCCGACCGTCAGGGCAAACACCTCCGCGCCTCGGAGCATGCCCTCGAAGGCGACGAGAAGGAGGGCGGCCACGTCGAACGCGCCTGCAGCGCACGCGAACCCCGCCATGGCCGCGACGGCCTCGGCCGTGAGTGGCAGCACCCTGGACGCTGGCTCATGATGTCTCCATGCCTTGAGGAGAGTCCAGCTCAGGTCAAGGTGTCGCCTCAGCCGAGGCGCCGCGAAGCACACCCCTGCCAGAGTGTTGTTGGCGGCCGCGATGCCCACACCGGAGGCCCACAGGCCCTCGAGGCACTCCGCGACGAGGGCGTCGGCGTCCTCGGGGTCGCCACGCAAGACGTCCGCTCCCGCCTGCTCGGCACCGAAGTGGGCCAGCAGGGCCCGCAGGGCCCGCTCGTAGCGCCGCCGCGTCTCCGCCGATACCCTCAGGGAGGAGAGGGTCTGGCAGCGCGTCCCGCGGCGCCTCGCGGGCGCGGGCCTGCGGTGAGCGGCCGCGCGCGCGGCGCGGGTCGCCCTCGCCTCCTGGGCTTCGAGCCGCGCCACAGCAGCCTCCTCGACGGCTCGTCCGCAGGGTTGTCCTCCGAGACCACGTAGCCGATCAGCGGGTACATGTCGGCCGCCACGACGACGGCCATCCAGCGCTTCAGGATGGGCTGGAGCTTCCTGCTGCTGCTGCGGCCCTTCGTCACGATGGCCGCGACCACCTGGCTGTCGACGAGGTGCAGGAACCTGCTCCCGTGCTGCGCGACCTTGCGGGCGCGCCACCTGATCGCCGACGTGGCCGCCTGCAACTCTCTCACGTTTATGTGGGTGGAGCTCCGGCCGGGCCACGCCATGCTGACCACCACGCGCCACTTCCACACGAACGGGTCCAGGCTCGTCCTCGGCCAGCCCCGCGGGCAGTAGGGGGCGCCGTAGTCCAGCCTGACGTCCGAGCCGCCCTTCTCCGCGCGGCTGAGGTAGTGCAAGACCAGCTGCCTCGCCTCCGCGGTGTCCGGCTCCCCTGGCTCCGTGACGAAGGCCCCGGCCTGGTCCCACGTCGCCCGGCACTCGCGGACGGGACGGGGGGCACCTCCTCTATCGACAGCTCCCTGTTCAGCGCGCCGCGGCGGTGCAGGAGCTGCTGGCACAACCATGCCACGACATGAACACTGAAGCTGTTGCCGAGGAGGAAGGCCCTGGCGTCGGAGGCGTCCTGAGGGTTCGAGCCCTTGGTGGCTAAGGAGGTGTACCCCACATCGAAGCCAAGGAGGCGCTCCCTCTCCTCGCTGGTGGGGAGGCGCAGGAAAGGGAACGAGGAGGTGCAGATCATGTTTTTGTCCTCGTACAAGGCCACATGATACCTGTGCCCGTCCGCAGCCCACCTCTGACGGGCCGCCTCCGATGCAGCCGCGAAGCCACGCGGGGCTGAGGGAAAGGAGGGCTGGGGCCTGCAGCAGACGAGCGTGGGGGAGCACCTCGGCCTCCCCGGCCAAGAGCAGCCCTCGTCCTCCCACTCGAGGTCCATGAGCGGGACGCCAGGGCCCACCAGCTCGTCGTAGACCCCGCGGTCGGCCAGCTGAAGAGGCGCCGCTGCGGTGACGCCCCAGCTCGTCCAGAACAGGCGCGGCCTGCGGCACGGCACGAACACCGACGAGCACACCAACGTCGGCCTCACCTGCAGCGCCTCCGAGATCAGCTCCACGTTGACGTCGGACATGCTGGCCACGTTCTCCACGAACCAAACGAGCCTGTCCCTGAAGACGGCGGCGAGGAGAGCCAGGATGCGCGGCACCTCGTGGAACAGCGAGGACTTCCTGCCGCTGAGGCCGCGCCCGCCGACGTTGGGGCGTGACAGGTCCTGGCAGGGGCTGCCCGCAGCGACCACCACCAGGTCGACGAGGCTGCCGAACGCCTCGAACAGGTCCCGCACCGTCTCGCTGCTCACGCGGGTGACGTCGCCCCAGTCGATGACACCTGGCCAGCGGAGCCTGACAACGCGCCGCGCCTTGGCGTCCGTCTCGGCCGCGACGTAGGCCGCGATGCGGACGGGCAGCCTCGAGAAGGCGACGGCGAGGCCTCCGATGCCGTCGAACAGGCCGATGAGCAGCACCGACAACGCCCTGCGGACCGCCCTGGCGGGGACGCGTGGGTTGGCTGCCGCCCACGGTCGGGCGGGGTCCTCGGGCATGTTGAGGAGCCTGGCCCCTATCCCCAGCTGGTCGGGGACCGTCCTCGGCACCTGCAAGGCGGCGGCGACGTCCTCGCGCAGGCCGGCTGACGTGCACGCGCCGCCGCCCATCTCCGACGCGTCCGAGGACGTGACCATGCCGTCGACGCGCGTTCGCAGCGAGGAGGCGGCCAGCGGCAGGACCATCACGCCCATGAAGAGCTCCTCCACCATCTCCGCGTCCAGGAAAGCCCCCTGCGCTGAGGACGCAGCCAGCGTCCAGACGGAGTTCAGGACCCCGAAGAGCGGCCGCCTGAACTCGAAGGCCCTCACGAGCTTGCCGAGGACCGCCATGGCAACGCGCCACGGGATCAGGCGCCGCTGCACCGCGGCCAAGCAGAGGCCCGCGGTGGCCAGCGCCTTGGAGGCGGGGACCGCGAGGCGCCCGCTGACGCCGCCGACGTCCGCGCCCATGCGCTCCACCCTCAGCTGCCTGCAGTGCGCCTTCTCGGCCGAGAAGGAGACGCTCGCCCTCTCGTAGCTGGCGCGGACCCGCAGCTGGAGGTCGCTCGGGGTCCCCGCGAGCTTGCGGGCCAGAACCTCCTCGACGATCTCCGGCGCATCGAAGTCGTCGATGTAGACCTGCCACCAGCCAGCGTCCTGGCCGCTGCCCGCCTCGACCAGGGGCCGCGCGCAATCCTTGCGCCACTCCCCATCCGGGGGAAGCCCCGCCCCGAGGGGCGGCGCCAGGCGGCACAGCCGTCGGTGGATGTGCTGGAAGACGGGCACCGCGAGCGACCAGCCCATGGCGATGACCGCCGAGGTCACGTAGACGACGGGCACCGAGCGGCCAAACAGCTTGCCCGCGAGCGGCCGCCCCACGGCCATGTAGGGGTGCCACGCGGGCGGGACCCGCCACACGAAGAAGGCCCCCTTCTGGTCGTCCCCCGACCACAGCAGCAGCTTCCCCTCGGGGATCACGACCGACGTCCAGGACGTCGAGGCCGCGAGCAGCGCCGCCTCGCCGACGTGGGCCTTCAGGAGCGAGTTGCCCGGCACCATGTTGAGGATGAGCCTGGTGACCCGCGTCGCGCCAGGCGCTGGAGTGCCCTTCTTCTCCACCGCGAACAGGCCGTTCAGCACGGGCTCGCCCCTCACGCGGACCAGCGCGCTCTCCGCGAGCGTGGTGAAGATGCCGAGCGACACGAGGTGCAGCGCCAGCTCCTCCCAGTCCGCCTCCGTCTCCACGTTCACGCGGGCCCGCGGCAGCGGGTCGGGCCAGTCGGACTGGTCGAGGAGCGCCAGCTCGGGGCGGCGCAGCCAGGCGCCGACCTCGTCGTCCACGAAGTCGATCGCGTCGAGCGTGGCAGCGCACTCCCTCGCGGGCAGGCCAGGGGCCAGCTCGCAGAGCCGGCAGGGGAGGGCCTTCACGCCCGACTCCCCCTCGTACGCTGACCCGCAGCCGCCCGCCAGCTCGTCGATCGCAGGGACCATGACCACGGCCAGCGGGTCCTCCGCCAGGGCCGCCGCTCGGCTCCTCAGGTGCACGTAGACCTGCGTCTGCGCCTTCGACAGGGTCGGCCTGTGGCGCCAGCCTTCCTGCGCGCGGCCGCAGAACGCGTAGTTGAGCGCCACCGCGCTGAGGTACAGCCACGCCTGCTCGCTGACCTCCCGCGCAACGGCGCGGCGGCGGCACCTGCGTGCCTTGGGCAAGGCGCTATGGGCCAGCCAGCGGTCCACCTCCTCGGTCGACGGAAGGGGAAGCGGCAGGGCGTCCCGAGCCCTCCTGTTCGACGACCCTCCGCTCCCACAAAATGTGTCCGCACGCATGCTGAACGACCGAGCGAAGTTGCCAAGGCTGCCCGGGTGGCGTCGTACTGCTGCCACCAGCCGCGCCGCCAGGTCGACCGCGACGATGCTCTTGCCGAAGTCGAAGGAGAGCTCGTCGGACCAGCACTGCAGCGCGGTGGCCAGCGGGGGCTCCGCGACGCCCTCACCCCCCCCGCATAGGGTGGCACGTTCTCCGCCCTCGGTAAACCGAGTTTGGCCCACGCCGCGGACTCCCCCTCCAGCGCCTCTCGCAGGGCACGCGCCTTTGATGGAGGCATCGGCCACCCTCCCGGAGGAGGCTCCACCATAGCGCGGAGCAGGCGGCAGGCTGCCGCCGCTCAGGTCCGACGGGGGCGCGCCGCCGCACGAGCTTTGAAGGCTCGCAGGCGGTGCTGGGTGTTCGTCCCCCCCGGCTGCTTCGGGAACTTCTTCCGCATCTCCGCGAAGGACATCTTCCACGGCGGCGGGGCTGCCGACCCCGCGGCCCGCGGAGGAGGCCCGCCCGCGCCCGCTGCCAGGGGCGCTGGCGGAGCCGCCGCGGAAGCCTTCCCGCGGGGCGGCCGAGCCGGCGGCTGGCGGGGGGCCTGTCCCCCAGGTCCCTTTGCCTGCGCTGTCGCAGGGGGTGCCCCCCTGCCTGGCCAACAGACGGAGGCGCCAGCGGCGGGCGCGCCCCCGTCGGGCCTTCGCCCTATCCCGGCGTCTTGGCGGCGGCCAGCCGCGCGGAGAGCTCGTCCAGCTTCATCTCGCCGAGCTGGATGCTGCGGATGAGCTCCTCCTCCTCGCTGCGGATGGCCGTGGGCTCGTCGCGCGGCGGGATCAGCTCCAACCACTTCGCCGCCGCCCACGAGCCATCCGTCGTTGCTACCTGCAGCGCCTTCAGGCGTTGGACGATCAGATCGCAGGCGCGGGCCGACTTCCCCTGCATCAGCAGGTCCACCGCCTCCGCGAGGGTGCGGAGCTCGCGGTGCGTCTGCGCGCCGATCTCCTTCACCGGGTGCTGCGGCAGGTAGATCGTGAGGAGGTGCCGAAGGGCGATCGGGCCCGTCGCGTCGACGGCCGCCTCCCCCTCCTGCGAGCCCAGGAAGTCCGCCATCTGCTGCAGGCTCAGCTCCGTGAGGCGGCCCGGGGCGGCGGCGGCCATCCGACGACAGAAGGCCCTCTTCGTGGCCAGGTCGCGCGGCACCGCCGCGGGGTCCGTGGAGCTGAGGCCGCCCCCGCCGATGTCGCCAGGTGGGGCCTCCTTGCCCTCGCGGATGGCCATCGCGAGCGCCTGCGCGAGCTCCCGCATGCCGCCGTTCAGGCCTGCTCCTGGCGGCGCCCGCTCGGGCGCAGGGTCCCTCGACCCTCGGGGAGCCGCGTCGGAGGCGGCCCTCTTGAGCTTCGCGGCGCGCTCGACCAGCAGGTCCCCGAGCGACCGCCTCTTCGCGGGCCCCTCGCCAGCCGCCTCCGCGCCGAGGGGGAAGCCGTCCAGGTTGACGTCTCCAGCAGCCCGCTTCCCCTCCTCGAAGCGCGCACGAGCCCCTGCGAGCTTGCCTCCCAGGCCGCCCGCGGCAGCCGCCTCCTCTTCTGCGGCCAGCTCCGAGCCAGGGCCGCGCGACGAGCCTCCTACGCTCAGGAAGTCGTCGAAGGGGGCAGCGCCAGGCGGGGCCCTGAGAGGACCTGCCGCGGCTGGTGGGCGCCCCGCCGGTTTGGCCACCGCGGCGGGCCTCGCGGGGGCGGCGGCGGCGACCAGCGCCCCGAGGCGTGCTGCTGGCCAAGCCGCCTCTGGATTCACCTCCTGGCACTCGGCGAAAAGCGCCCGCAGGTCCGTCAGGCCGAGCTCGGCCCCGTCCGCCACGTGGATCAGCTCGGTGCACGTCCCCGGCCCCTCCTCGACGGAGCACGGGCTCTCCGAGCACACGTGGATGAGCGGGCGCGCCGTCACCGCGCTCGGCTGCCCAGGGTGGCTTGCCCACCAGTCCCAGTAGCCGTCGTCGCTGAAGAGGAACTCCGCCCTCACGAAGCGCTGCGGCGGCTCCGCGCTGGTAACACGCAGCGCCCGCCACGCGAACCGGCACTGCTCGAGGCCGCCCGCCGTGTAGCCCGTGCTGCAGTAGCATTTGCCCTGGGCTACCTCCAGCGGGACGATCGGCACGGGCCCGTCCGCCACGGGCGCGGGCACGTCGGCCTCCGGCGCCTCCCAGAGGTCCTCGTCACCACCGTCGAGGTCCTCGACAGCCGCCTGGGCCATCCAGCCCCACGCCTGCCAGAAGCCAGACCAGCGGCCCTCGCCTCCCTGCGCCGCCGCCAAAAGCGCGAGGAGGGCGGATGGCGGCCACCGCGGCGGGCCTCGCGGCCACCGAGACAGCTCGTGGCCGTGACCTCGAAGATATGCTTGGGTACTTTAGCCCAAACAGGCTACGGACGTGTTGGGGCGGCGTGTCCTTGCCAAAGGGGGGGGGACGGGTATACCCATACAGGGGACCTGTATACAGACATATATATATACATATGTGTATGTATATATAGAGAAATACAAACCTGCAGTGGCGCTTCGCGCCATGCACCTTGGTCCTCGAAGTTTGGCATGCAGGCGGGATGGCAGGAAGGTCAGGCCGACAAATCAGCGATGACTCCTTGCTGCCCTTTCCGGCATCGCCGTTATCATAATGTTATTCGTGATCCTTTCTCCATGCTTCTCTTTCTTCATTCTCGCCATACCCTTCGCATTCTTCCCATCCTCCTCAGTTCTTTTCTGCGGAGGTTCCTCCTTGGAGAGCCTCTGGGGGCCTCGCAAAAGTTTCCCAGGCTTTCTTAAAGCCTTCTGGAGGCCTCCTGGGCGTGCTCTGGGGTCCTCTGGGAGCTTCCTCGGGCCACCCTGCCTCCAACCGTGGTCTCCCTGAATGACCAGGTCACGATTTGGAACGCTTCGGAGGGCGTCTTGGGGCCATCTTTGGCCGTCGTGAGGCTCTCTTAGGGCCATCTTGGACCCCTGTTGTGCCGTTTTGGGGCTCTCTTGGACTGCCTGGAAGTCCTTTCGGATAGTTGTGGGGCGATTTTGGAACCTCCCAGGCGGCTCCGGACGCCCCGAAGACCGCCGTCTTGGAGCGTCGGGAAGCCGAAAAGAGGATAACCCCAAAATTCACCAAAAACCGAAAGAAAAACAATGATTTTTGCGTCTCGGGTCCTTCTTGGGAGTGCTCGTGAGGCCTCTTGGGGCGTTTCGGAGCGATCTTTCGGGGTATGACAGCTTCTTGGGAGTCGTCGTGGACGGTATTAGGGCTCTCTGGGGTCGTTTCGGGAGCGCGCCAGAACGCCTGGAACCCGTCTGGGGCCGGCTTCGGGCTCTCGTGAGGTTCTCTCGGGTCGCCTGAAGGGTTGCCCGGAGGCCCGTGGAGAGCCAAATTCGTCAGGGGGGGGGGGGCTTTTTCCAGCGTCCCCAGCCCTATAAAAATATATGGATAGGAATAGAAGGGAGGGGCGGCTGCAGGCGAATGTGCCACCTCGGGCTCCGAATCCTGCAAAAACCATGGTTTTGACGGCACCCGCTGGGGCCGAGTGAACCCGAATAAACCGCGAATGAACCCCCGAATGTGCCAGAATGTGCCCCCGACTGAACCCTCCCCAGCGCCCCAGACGGACCCCGACGCAACCCCCCAGACATCGTCGTCGTTATTAGTCGGCCTTCGTCGTGGTTCGCTGTTGTTGCGAATCGTCGTTCGTCGGTTGTCGTCCTGAGTCGGTCCGACGGTCGTCGTCGTCCTCCTCGTCGTGGGAATTTCCCTACCAACAACAATCACCTGTCCGGCCAGTCAGGTGACTAGTTTACTAGTGAGGATGTTGACGACGTGTGTCCGTCGAACGACTATAATGAAGGGGCCTTGGGACACACAAATAAATACACACAAATAAAAATATTCTCCATATCTTCCTATATTTTCTGGGTTTCTGTCTTCCCCCCCACTTCCCATATTTTCCAGTATTTTCCTGGGGATCGACGATTAATTGTGTCTGTGTGTTTCTTTCCCTCCTGAAAATAGTTTAGGCCGTGGTGGAGGCGTGGCTCGCTCCAGCTGCCCACTCATGCGACAACCCTTCAAATCCACCCGGCCGACCGGCCGGCCGACCGCCCGAACGACCGGACAACGACTGACGGCGACGACCGACGAATGACAACGACGGCGGCGACGACCGACCGACCGAACGAATGACCGATCGACCCAGCGGCCGAGCGGCCGAGCGACCGAGCGACGACGACGACCACGAAAGACGATGACGACGACGACGACGACGACGACGACGACGACGGACCGACCGAATGATGGAACGAGCGACGACGACAATGACGATCGACCAACTGGCCGACCGAACGATCGACGACCGACGACGACGACGACGACGACGACGACGACGACGACGACGACGACCGACGGCAACGACCGACAACAGACAACGACGACGGCAACGACCACCGACCGACCGACCACCGACCACCGAACGACGAGGACGACGACCGACGGCGACGACCGACGGACGATGACGACAGACCGACCGACCAACAGCGACGAACGACGACCACGAGAACAACGACGGACGGACCGACCGACCGACAGACGATAACGACCGACGGCACCGACGGACGCCGTCATAAAATCGTAGAAGGTCAAATCTAGAAGGCCGACCGCGAACAGCCGAGGTCAAATTCTAGAACGCCCTGGCCGAATCCTGCAAAAATCTATGGTTTTGAAACCACCCGCTGGGGCCGAGCGGACCCGAACGAACCCGAATGAACCGCGAATGACCTCCGGAATGCACCCCCGACTGAACCCTCTCGAGCGCCCCAGACGGACCCCGACTCAACCCCCAGACATCGTAGTCGTTGTTAGTCGGCTGTCGCCATGCTTCGCCGTCGGTCGACGTCCTGAGTCGATCCAACGGTCGTCGTCGTCATCGTCCTCGTCGTCGCTAAAATTTCACCACCAGTAAGTGAACTGACTGCAGTAACAAGGCAAACAGCATTCATCAAAAAAGAAGAACAACAAATACGCGAATGATATGAAGAGCAGCAGTAACGACCACCATCTGAGCAGTGAGAGGGATCATGACATCGGCAAGATTTCATGGCCCCAGCCATGATATCCACACACACAGTCCCCCGCCCCTAACCCCCTCTTCGACATCTCGAATCGGATCGTCTGCGACAAGATGAACGACAAAGCTATGAGAACATCGGGACGCCGGATTGTCGGAACCGAGACGAACCGAGCCAGCCGAAATCGGTCGGACCGCAGTGGGCCCCGCCTTGTGGGGGAACGGACACTCGCGGGGGAACGCGTAGTGCAACCACTGCGCGAAGAGGCGCCCGTGGATCGGCACCTGGCCGCCGTGCGCAGACGCGATCTCCTCCAACTGCGCCCCGAGGGCCGCAGATGTTAGGGGAACAAAGAGTGACACAAACACAAGAACTCGGAGGTCCGCGCGGGTTTCTCGGATCGGCGCTGGGCCCCCAGCGCCGATCCGAGAAATCCGCGCGGACCTCCGAGCTTTTCTGGCCATCGCTCGGACGTCCATTCCCTGTGTTTTTGCTCGGTTTCGTGCGTGTTTTTTTTTCTGGCTCGATGGTCCAGGATGCTTCTCCACGGTCCTCGCCGAGAAAAAAACTGCACACGTCCGAGCGATGTCAGGTTTTATGTTTATGCCACTTTCTGTTCCCCCAGATATGCCGAGCGTGCCGCCGTCGTCGTCGTCTCCCAGGCCCGCCTGCGAGGTCATGTTCCCAACCAGCCGCAGGATCTCCTCCGGGGTGCCGACCGGCCGCCCGATGCCGGCCTCGACTTCGGCCAGCAGGGGCTCGCAGTCGCTGGCGCAGCACACGAGGTAGTGCGGGGTCGAGACGATGCAGTTGGAGGCGGCCTGGATGTAGTTGGCGATGATCACCTGCTTGCCGCGCCACGGCGAGGACTCGTCCAGCGCTCCGAGGTCGCGCAGGTACGCCTCCGACTCCGCGAAGCGCCAGTTGGCGTCCTGCCCCGTGCCGTAGAACTTCGCCAGGGGTACGCGGCCGGTCCTGTGAACGTCCATGGCGACCAGCTGGTCCCTCATGGACGTGCACTCGGCCTGCCAGAAGGACCCGAAGCGGTCGACGATGCCGCCGACGACCTCGTGGGCGTCGCCAAAGCTGTAGCTCTGCGACAATCGGGTCGGGCGAAAGGGGGGGATAGCAAAGGGGGGGTTTGAGAATCAGCTCACGTAGCTGATTTTCCCGGCGCCTCCCGGCGCCGGAGGCGACGATGTATCGAGGAATGGGCCCCCTCGGTGGGGCCGAAACCAGCTGCATGCAGCAAATTTCGTAACCCCCCCTTTCCCAATCCCCCCCTTTCGTCCGGCCCGAGACAAGCGCTTCTTCCTGAAGTCCAGGGACTGGATCTCCCCAGAAGCCATGGCGGCGACCTCGAACCACCTCCTCCTCCTCCTCCTCCTCCTCCTCCTCCTCCTCCTCCTCCTCCTCCTCCCTCCTCTCCTCCTTGCCCGTCCTCCTCCTCCTCCTCCTCCTCCTCCTCCTCCTCCTCCTCCTCCTCCTCCCCCTCCTCCTCCTCTCCTCCTCCTCCTCCTCCTCCTCCTCCTCCTCCTCCTCCTCCAGGGACTGGATCTCCCCAGAGGCCATGGCGGCGACCTCGAACCACTGCGGGAAGGACCGGGCCGCTGCATCACGGTTCAGCGGCCTCCCCGCGCTGCCGCCGACGTTCTCGGCCAGGATCCACCGCAGCAAGAACTCCTCGGAAGGGGCCCTGGGACACACAAATAAATACACACACACATAAAAGGATCCCCCATCCCCCCAAGAGATCGTCACGAGAGCTCAGGAGGCCCCCTGGAGGCCTCCCGAGTTCTCCAAGAGGCCTAAAAAGAGGCGCCAACAGGCCCCAAACGGCCCCAACGAGGCTCCAAGAGGCCACGAACGCGCAAGCAAACGCCTGCGATGGCACACTACGGGCCGGCGGTATGAGCGAAGCGATTAAATAAATACACACACAAATAAAAGGATCCCCCATCTTTTCCCTATTTTCGGGGTTTTTGCCTTCCCCCCCCCACCTCCCATCTTTTCCCATCTTTTCTGGGGAATCGACGATGAATTGTGTCTTTGTGTTTTTTCCCTCCTGAATCCTCGATGATGGCCTTCAGCGCGCTTCGGGATATGCCCTCGTCCGTGGTCCGCCTGTGCCTCTGGTAGACGTCCTCCAACAGGTGGCTCTCTGCATCGAAGATTGGCGCTGCGCACAAGGGGGTAGGGGGAGGGGGGCGGAAAGCTGCGCAGAAGGAGGCCACTTCCCAGAAGGCGCCGGCCTCACGTCTACAGGCAAGGCCCGCGCCTTCTAAGAAGCAGTGGTGTGTCTGAGGAGTCTTCCCCCTCCCCTACCCCCCTCTGCGCGTGGCCAAGAAGACCATCCGCTCCAGCGCAGCCACCATGAGCGCGGCGTCGTGGAGGTCAAAGCCGTGCTCGGCGGCATGCCGCGACGCCAGGACGGACTCCACGTGCCCTGGCACCTGCCGGCTCAACACGTCGGCGGCCCGCCACTCGGAGGACGCCGGGCCGGCCTGCTCCAGGCCGCGAATCCACATGGAGGACCTCTTCTTGAAGTACCTTCGGCGGCGCGCACAAGAGGGTAGGGGGAGGCTGGACGGCTGCTTAGAAGGAGGCTGCTACCTAGAAGGCGCTGGCCTCACACCTCTATAGACGAGGCCCGCGCGCCTTCTGAGGAGCAGTGGTCCTTCTAAGGAGCCTTCCACCCCCCCCACCCCCCCCCCCCCCTACCCCTACCCCCCCCTCTACCCCCCCTCCCCCCGTACCCCCCCCTTCCGTACCCCCCCCTCCCGTACCCCCCCCCCCCCTACCCCCCCCCCTACCCCCCCCCCTACCTCCCTCTGCGCGCGGCCGGTACCTGTGGGCCATGTAGCGGAGCGTGCGGTTCTCGACGCGGCCGGCGTCGTCCTTCGGGCTCGCGCGCCAGATCGGCAGCAGCGCCTCCTCGACGCGGGCGAGGCGCGACTGGTCGATCTGGCCTCCGCACCCGAAAGCCTCCGCGGTGGCCTTGCGCACCTCGTCCCTGAAGGAGGCGGCGCTGAGCTCGCCCCTGAGCGAGCTCCTTCTCGCAACGGGCCCGTTCGCCTGCGCTGAGAAAGGCCCACAGGAAAAGGCGACGGCGAGGATCGCCAAGCTTGCGCTGGCAGAGGTATGCATGATTGGCAGGGTAATGGTTCTCGTGGAGTACGATAGCTGGCGTAAGTGCTGATGGCTCGGAAGAAAGATGAGGATGAGGAGGGGGCGGAACGGCAGGAGGATGAGGAGGGCGAGGAGGGCGAAACATGTGAGAGAAAAAAGATGAGGATGAGGATGAGGATGATTAGGATGAGGATGAGGATGAAGATGGGGATTGGGATGAGGAGGACCAGTATAAAACCCAAGGCTCATCAACGATGTTGGAATACACCCTCCCTCCAAGCTGCCCCTCGATCTCTGTGTCAGTGGTCTCATGGCTTCGCGGGGCCTCCGAGAGTCTCCACCAAGTGTGTTCTGCAGCATTATGGTTGTCTTGGGCGCGCGCGCGTATCCTGGGAACCTCATAGGACCTCATATGTGTGTCTCGGCAGATTGCGATGATGTCTCAGGCGATGTGCCGATGCGTTTTCACGGTGAGGAGTTAGGAGGAAATGAGGGGGGACGAACGAGCCAAATCAACGTTCAAATTACATCCAATCTGTTAATGTATAAAAACAACTTGATCCCGGATCAGGCGGGGATCAACATCCTACATACGCTGATCCTGGATCTGATCCCGGATCTGCGGGATCAAGCTCAATATGACTTGATCCCGGATCTGATCCGGATCTGATCCCGGATCTGATCCCGGCGGGATCGGGGGATCTTGATCCCGGGATGCTCTGGGTGCATCCATCCGACTGACCCCCTGCTGGCGCGCGCGGCATGGGGTCTGCGCTGCGACGGTGCTGGCGAGCCCAACCTCGGGGGCCCTGTCGACGAGCTGCAGACCGCCCAGCGCGCCGCCGCGCGGCGCACGCACACTGCACGCACGTGGCACGAAGGGGCAGGTTGCGAACCAGGTGATCCCATCTGCGAAGCAACGAAACAGCGAGGAGCCACACCGAAAAAACTGCTCGACGGCGCACGTCGATGCAGGCGTGCGGGTTACCAAAGGGGGCTCGAAAGGAAATCGGCCGCATGCATCCGCCTTACCAGCAGCGCCCCAGCGCCAGGGCGAGGTCGCAGCTGCGGTCCCAGACCCCCGACGTCATGATTTTTTCATGACGTCGACCCCCCGAGGTCTCGACCCATTCCCCGGGACCCGTTTTTCGTCCTGAGTTGTTTTTTGACGGTCCCGAGGGCCGGTGAGGGCCCCCAAGGGCCAAAAATGATGAAAAACCTCCCGTCGTGACTTTTTCATATGACTCGAGGGGGTCTGGGGACCGCCAAGCGCGCCGAGGTCGCAGCTGCGGCGGCGGCAGCTCGCGCCGTCGGCGATCCCATCGATCTCGCTTGCGACAACGAGTGCGTCGTGCGCTCCTGCGCCTTCGGTCGTGGCCGGCGCGGACGCGCGGGAGTGGGAGTACGCTTCGGTCGGGCCTGTCCCCCTACAGGGGGATTTTCGACGAAAAAAAAAAAATACCCCACAGATATTCCAAAAGGGACAAAAAAAATAAAAAAAGAATCCCCAGACTATTACCTAACAGCGTTTGCTGATAGGTTTCTAGTAGGCTCAAAAGAAAGCATCATGACTCCTCAGGGGGGTCTGGGCGGGTGCCGGGGAGGAGAACCGGGAATCGTTTTTCGCCAACAGTCACACACTTCGTGCTCTTCGACCTCCCAGAACTCTATTCCCGGGCCACATTCTGGAGAACCGGGAACAGAGCCGGGCTCGCTTTTCGCCAACAATCACACACTTCGTGCTCTTCGACCTCCCAGAACTCTATTCCCGGGCCATGTTCTGGAGAACCGGGAACAGAGCCGGGCTCGTTTTTTTTATAAAAAAAAACAATCACACACTTCGTGCTCTTCGACCTCCCAGAACTCCACTCCTGGGCTACATGTTGAGTGCCCGGAGCCAACTGTAGGCCACTTCGTGCTCTTCGAGTTCCCAGAACTCCATTCCCGGGCCACATTTTGGATGCCCCGAGCCAACTGTAGGCCACTTCGTGAACTCCATTCCCGGGCCACATTTTGGATGCCCGGAGCCAACTGTAGGCCACTTCGTGCTATTCAAGTTCCCAAAACTCTATTCCTGGGCATGATTTTGAATGCCCGGAGCCAACTGTAGGCCACTTCGTGTTCTTCGATTCCCAGAACTCCACTCCCTGGGCCACATTTTGAATGCTGAGGAAGGCTGATGCTGCGGCCGAGGCAGGCTGAGGCTGAGGCAGGCTGAGGCTGAGGCCGAGGCTGAAGGCAGACTGAGGCTGAGGCTGAAGCAGACTGAGGCTGAGGCTGAGGCAGGCTGAGGCTGAGGCTGAAGCAGGCTGATGCTGAGGCAGGCTGAGGCTGAGGCTGAGGCTGATGCAGGCTGAGGCTGAGGCAGGCTGAGGCTGAGGCCGAGGCTGAAGGCAGACTGAGGCTGAGGCTGAAGCAGGCTGAGGCTGAGGCTGAGGCAGGCTGAGGCTGAGGCAGGCTAAGGCTGAGGCTGAGGCAGGCTGAGGCTGAGGCTGTGACTGCGACTGCCGTTGCCACTGCGACTGTCATCGCGAATGCGACTGCGACTGCGAGAACAGCAGAATTCTACAACTGGATTTTCATCTGAATCTTAAGGGGAATGCTTTCAGATATGCTTCTACATATCGCTGTTAGGTTGCTTTGCCGGGATATTTTTTGTATTATGTTTTGACTATTTTGGGGGTATCTTTTTTACCAAACAGCGAAGACTTTTAGGTTTCTAATGGTCTCAGAAGAAAGCATCATGACTCCCCAGGGGGGTCCGGGCAGAATCCGGGGAGAATCCGCGGAAGTCTTTTTGACCAAACAGTTACACACTTCGTAGTCTTCGAGTTCCCAGAACTCCACTCCCGGGACGCATTCTGAATGCCCAAATCCAACTGTAGCCCACTTCGTGCTCTTCGAGTTCCCAGAACTCCATTCCCGGGCCACATTTTGAATGCCCGGAGCCAACTGTAGGCCGATTCGTGCTCTTCGAGTTCCCAAAACTCCATTCCCAGGCCACATTTTGAATGCCCGGAGCCAACTGTAGGCCACTTCGTGGTCTTCGAGTTCCCAGAAGTCCATTCCTGGGTATGATTTTGAATACCCAGAGCCAGCTGTAGGCCACTTCGTGGTGTTCGGGACCCCAGAACTCCATTCCTGGGCATGATTTTGAATGCCCGGAGCCAACTGTAGGCCACTTCATGGTCTTCGAGTTCCCAGAACTCCATTCCTGGGCATGATTTTGAATGCCCGGAGCCAACTGTAGGCCACTTCATGGTCTTCGAGTTCCCAGAACTCCATTCCTGGGCATGATTTTGAATGCCCGGAGCCAATTGCAGGCCACTTCGTGTTCTTCGAGTTCCCAGAACTCCATTCCCGGGCCACATTTTGAATGCTGAGGCAGGCTGAGGCTGAGGCTGAGGCAGGCTGAGGCTGAGGCAGGCTGAGGCTGAGGCCGAGGCTGAAGGCAGACTGAGGCTGAGGCTGAAGCAGGCTGAGGCTGAGGCTGAGGCTGAGGCTGAGGCAGGCTGATGCTGAGGCAGGCTGAGGCTGAGGCTGAGGCTGATGCAGGCTGAGGCTGAGGCTGAGGCCGAGGCTGAAGGCAGACTGAGGCTGAGGCTGAAGCAGGCTGAGGCTGAGGCTGAGGCAGGCTGAGGCTGAGGCTGATGCTGAGGCAGGCTGAGGCTGAGGCTGAGGCTGATGCAGCTGAGGCTGAGGCCGAGGCTGAAGGCAGACTGAGGCTGAGGCTGAAGCAGGCTGAGGCTGAGGCTGAGGCTGAGGCTGAGGCTGAGGCTGAGGCTGAGGCTGAGGCTGATGCTGAGGCAGGCTGAGGCTGAGGCTGAGGCTGATGCAGGCTGAGGCTGAGGCAGGCTGAGGCTGAGGCCGAGGCTGAAGGCAGACTGAGGCTGAGGCTGAAGCAGGCTGAGGCTGAGGCTGAGGCAGGCTGAGGCTGAGGCTGAGGCAGGCTGATGCTGAGGCAGGCTGAGGCTGAGGCTGAGGCTGATGCAGGCTGAGGCTGAGGCAGGCTGAGGCTGAGGCCGAGGCTGAAGGCAGACTGAGGCTGAGGCTGAAGCAGGCTGAGGCTGAGGCTGAGGCTGAGGCAGGCTGAGGCTGAGGCTGAGGCAGGCTGATGCTGAGGCAGGCTGAGGCTGAGGCTGAGGCTGAGGCAGGCTGAGGCTGAGGCAGGCTGAGGCTGAGGCCGAGGCTGAAGGCAGACTGAGGCTGAGGCTGAAGCAGGCTGAGGCTGAGGCTGAGGCAGGCTGAGGCTGAGGCAGGCTGAGGCTGAGGCTGAGGCAGGCTGAGGCTGAGGCTGTGACTGCGACTGCCGTTGCCACTGCGACTGTCATCGCGAATGCGACTGCGACTGCGAGAACAACAATTTCTACAAGTGGATTCTCATCTGAATCTTAAGGGGAATGCTTCCAGATATGCTCCTACACATCGCTGTTAGGTTGCTTTGCCGGGATAATTTTTTCGTTGCCCTTGACGCCAGCGGAAGCGCGCAAGCGCGGGCTGAGCGAGCGGGGCCGCCTCAGCAACGCAGCGGTCGGGGCAGCCGCCGCGCAGCGGGCCTCGCCACTGACAGCTGTGACAGCGCGCCGCCGGGAGCTCGAGCACCTGGAGGCCGCGCAGCGCGTGCTCGAAGCCACGCAGCAGGCTGCCCTGGCGGCGTCGCCGCCCGCCGCCCGCCGCGCGACTGGCGCACCGTGCGCCGCGGGGCACGGGCTCGCGCGGTCTCCGCGCCGCCAGGCGCCGCCCCTGCTGGGCGCGCGCCCCTGCCGGCGCCGCGGCCGCGGCGCTGCGGCGGAGATGACCCCGTCCGCCCAGGCACCATGCTCGCCGCCTTCTTCGCTGGGCGGTCGTGGTGGCCGCACGCCGTCGCGCAGGGGCCCGGCAAGGTCATCTGTCTCCGGTGCGGCGCCCCTGCTGCGACGCCGGCGGAGATGCTCGGGAGTGTATGCCCAGGGTGGAAGGAGCAGCTGCCCGCGCGCGGGCAGGCGACGCCTCCTTCTCGGCGTTAACTGCGCTTCGCTGGGGGCAGCGGGGCAGACTTCGCACGCATCGCGGCGCAGCGCCTCGCGGAGCTCCCGAAGGCCCCGGACCGATCCGGGCTTCGCCGGGCGCCCGCGGTTGCGCGTCGCGCCTGTCCCCGCTCGTCAAAAAAAACAAGTGTGTATGTGTGTCAGCGCCCCACAAACGGGGACTCCACTAACGGGTACTTTGGCCAGTGACCCAGCGAACCCAACCCTTCCCGATGCGGGCAACGCTGCATTGCCAGAAAGAGGCCCTAAAGTGGCAACTTTCGGCAAAATTGCAAAGTACCCGTTTGTGAGTACCCGTTACGGTGCCGTTGAATGTGTCTGTGTGTTCGCAGGCCGGATGTGGGCAAATCCGGATGTGGAATCGGGTGGCCTGTGGGTCGTGGTCTCCCGTGTGGTCTCCCGTGCAATCTCTTGCGCGGTCTCCCGTATGGTCCCTCGTCTGGTCGCTCGGCTGGTCTCGCATCTGATTTGCTGTATGGTCTCCCGTCTGGTCTTCCGTGTGGTCTCCCGCGTGCCCTGTACAATGTAATGCTATCCCTACAGCTTAGCTATGCTGCTGAGGCCTTCGCGCACTGGGACTGTCTTAGCTGTCCTGCAGCACAGCTCGTTCCGAGTTACAACTGATACCATCCCAGCAAACCTCTTTGTTGCCACCTCCATCCCTGTCACTAGCCTCGTGCAAGGCACACGCGCTGATCGAAACCGCGCGTGTCAAATAACAACATGAAGACCACACGCGCGCACACATGGCGAAAACGTTCCAACACCATTACTTGTCATGTAAGTCTAAGCAAAAGATATCACACAAGCGTCGCTGTTTCAATTGGAAATCCAAACTTTGTCTGCGCGCACACACACACACGCGAAAATCACGATAATCAAACTATGTTTTGGAATTCTGCCAAGTGGTATCATGCGCCACACGCGCGCCCATGAAGAGTTCATTCAGCAGAATATCGCGCGCGCCCCCGCGCGCGCAAATCGACATAATTGCAAAGCCACGTGCTGCCTCTAGGCAAGTTGAAGAAGATGTGTTCCAAAACATGTGATCAACCAGCAGTTTTCCAAGCACCAGTCTGTCAGAGTTTCTAAGCGCGCACCTCTTCGCGGCCCTCATCAGCACCAGTGCCATCATCATCATCATCATCATCATCATCATCATCATCATCATCATCATCATCATCATCATCATCATCATCATCATCATCATCTTCATCATCATCATCACCATCACCATCACCATCACCATCACCATCACCATCACCATCACCATCATCATCATCATCATCATCATCATCATCATCATCATCGTCATCGCCATCGTCATTGTCATCTTCATCGTCGTCATCATCACCATTATCATTCTCCCTACCGTTATCACCCCCCATCATCATCAGCATCGTCATCATTTTCATCATCAGCAGCATCATCAGCATCAGCATCATACTCATCATCATCATCCTCATCCTCATCATCATCACCTCAAATATCACCATCTACTTCACCACCATCACCATCACCATCACCATCACCATCACCACCACCATCACCATCCTCATTCACAGCATCACCACCACCACCATCGTCATCACCACCGCCATCGCCATCAATGCCATCAACACCACCGCCACCATCGCCAACGCCGCGCCCCGCCGCCGACGCCAGCCTCGGCCGCCAGCGCCGCAACACGGCGGGCGCCGAACCCGCCGGGCGTCCGCGGGCGTGGCGCCAGCGGCCCAGCCGAGCCGACGGCGGCGTCCAGGGCGCGCCGGGCCGATCGGAGCCGCGCCGAGCGGGGCGTCCACGTCTCGGGCCTGGGAGGGGCGGTGGCGCTCCATCGGCGCCGTCCGCCTCCACCTCCTCCCCCTCTCACTCCTCCTCCTCCTCCCCCTCCTCCTCCTCCTCCTCCTCCTCCTCCTCCTCCTCCTTCCTTCTCCACCTCCTCCTCCTCCTCCTTCTCCTCCTTCTCCTCCTCCTCTTCCTCCTCCTCCTCCTCTTCCTCCTCCTCCTCTTCTTCCTCCTCCTCCTCCTCCTCCTCCTCCTACCCGTCCCCCCCCTCCTCCTCCTCCTCCCCCTCCTCCTCCTCCTCCTCCTCCTTCTCCGCCTCCTCCTCTCCCTTGAGGTCCTCGACCTCAAAGGCAGGGCCTCGTCCGAGGATGTGTGCACGGGCCTGGTTGCGAGGGAGAGGGGCAGTTGGCCAAGAGGTAGTTTTCGGCCCGAGACTCCGGGAGGGCCAAGGCCCATCCTGACCCGAGCGTCCACGCAGACGTCATCGACGCGTCGGCACAAAATCCTCGCATCCGACCAGGCCAAAGAGAAGAGCACCACGGAGAGGCAACGGTCGCACAAACAGTAGTAGGATCAGGTGAAGATGACGCAGTGTGCTTTGCCATGAGGCTAAGAAGCCCAATGAGCAACACGAGCTCGTTGAGAAGTTAGCGCAGCTCGACTCGGTGGGGAAGAGGCTGGATGCTCTCGAGAACGGCGCGTCGTACACGCTGCGCGAGAACACCTTGAAGCATAAGCCCAGGTAGTTGTAGGAGCAGTTGCAGGGCCAGCTCAAACAGCTGCAGCAGGAGCAACGAGAGGCCATGGAGCAGGAGTCGAAGCTCGATGGGAAGCTCACCAGTACAGAAATGGGAAACTTGGAGGTGCAGCAGCAGCAGCAGATGTAGAACGTGCGGCCGAAGCAGCAGGTGCACCAACAGTACATCGAGATCAGGCGTTTTGAACGCGAATCCGAGCTCGTGGCGAAGGTGGGAAACCTCGGAGAAAAGTTCCAGAGCCTGCTCCAGATCGTGGTCTAGCTGCAAGGTCGCGGATGAGGCCGCGCAGATCCGCGCACGCGGGCGCCTAGATTGGTGTCCGCTCCTCCCCGCTTGCCTCGCTGCTGCCACCGCTGTGCAAGAGAGGAGGGGGAGGAGCAGTAGTTGTGCTCCATAGACATGGCGCGCCGGCGGGAGAGCTGGCGAAGTCCAGCAGGCAACCACTCGAACGCAGCCCCTCCCTCCATGCTCGGAGGCAAAGGCGGGCCGACAGGCGCTGACGCCGGCGTGCACAGCAGCCCCGAGGACGGAGCCTGTTGTCCCTGCCTGAGGATTTGACAGGGTCGGGGGGTTGGTGTCTGGTGCGGGGGATGGGCAGAGGTTCTCTCCCTCCCCCTTGCCCCTCTCCACGCGTGGCTCTGGCCACTGCAGGCGCTTCCCTTCCCCCCTGGCCTTAACCTCCACCACTAATAAAGTGCTCAATAAACCCTCCACTTCCTTCTCCTCCTCCTGCTCCTACTCCTCCTCCTCCTACTCCTCCTCCTCCTCCTCCTCCTCCTCCTCCCCCTCCTCCCCCTCCTCCTCCTCCTCCTCGTCCTCGTCTACGTTCTAATCCTCTTCCTTCTCATCTCCTTCTCCTCCTCCTCCTCCTCCTTCCTCCTCTTCCTCCTCCTTCTCCTCTTCCTCCTCCTCCTCCTCCTCCTCCTCCTCCTCCTCCTCCTCCTACCCTCCTCCTACCCCTCCACCCCCTCCTCCTCCTCCTCCTCCTCCTCTCCTCCTCCTCCTCCTCCTCATCTCATCATCATCATCATCTCATCATCATCATCATCAGCATCACATCAGCATCAGCATCAGCATCAGCATCAGCATCAGCATCAGCATCAGCATCAGCATCAGCATCATCATCAGCATCATCAGCATCATCTCATCCATCAGCAGCAGAAGCAAGCAGCATCATCATTATCATCATCAGCATCATCATTTTCATCATCACATCATCATCATCATCATCATCATCATCATCATCCCCCTCCTCCTCCTCCCCCTCGTCCTCCCCCTCCTCCTCCTCCTCCTCCTCCTCCTCCTCCTCCTCGTTATCAGCCACCCACTCCCAGACTCGCACCCACCCCGATTTATTCACTGCCAAATCCACTCGCATTCGCACCCGCTCGCCATCAACCACGACCATACTCAATCTCCCGTGCTCAGCCAGTCATCCGCCACCGTGCCCCGTGGCACGTGGATGCGTGGCAGGAATACATGGCTTCTGTGAGTCTTCTACGGGTCGCCCCCCCTCCCCCTCTCCTCACGCTCAACCACATGCATCCCGCCCCCTTCCGAAGTTCGCTGGGCGGCTCGATGACCCTCGGGCCCTCCAACGCACCCCAAGGCTGACAAGACGGCGCAGGAAAGTCGCCAAGGCAGACCCCCCCTTAAACCGACGGACAACCTAAACCGACCGAAAACGAAGAACCGACGGGCGCTCTGCCTCAGGCGCATGCAGCGCGAGCGGCGCCGCAGACGAGAGGGGGTGCCGACTAGTCTTGGGCACGTGCTTTAGTCTAGCATGGTTTTTGAGTTAAGCCATATGGTTTAGTAAAGCCTGTTGCTTGAATTAAGCCTGGTTGTGGACAGGCCTGGTTTTCGCCAAGTCTGGTGTAGTTGGGCCCGGTTTTGTCTGGTCTGATTTCAGCTACGCGCGCATGTCGTTAAGCCTTGTACTTGAGTTAATCCTGGTTCAAGCTGGGCATGCTTTTGGTTTTGTTTGATGTACGCTACGCGCGCATTCAGCTAAGCCTGATAGTTTGATTAAGCCTGGTTGTTTTAATTCAGCCTGGTTGTGGCTGGGCCTGGTTTTAGTCAGGCCTGAGGTCAGCTACGCTCGCGTCCAAGTACGCCTTGTATGTTAGTTAAGCCAGGTGAATTGGTTAAGGCTGGTTGTAGCTGGGCTCGGCTCAAGGCAAGCCTGATTTCAGCTACACGCGCATGTGGTTCAGCCTGGTATGCTAGTTAAGCCTGGTGAACTAGTTAAGCCTGGTTGTATCCGGGCCTGGTTTTAGTCAGGCCTGAGTTCAACTACGCGCGCATGTGGACAAGCCTGGTATGTTAGTTAAGCCTGGTGGTTTAGTGAAGTCTGGATGTAGCTTGGCCTGGTGTTAGTTAGGCGTGGTTTCAGCTTTGCGCTCGTCTCCTTATGGCTGGCAGCTTCGCTAAGCTTGATTTTTTCGTTAAGCAACTGGACTTTGATTAGGCCTCTCTTCAAATACGCGCGTTTCTGTTAAGCCTAATGATTTAGTTAAGCCTGGTGGTTCAATCAAGCCTAGTTCTCGCGGGGCCTGGCTTCACTTTGGCCTGATTCCAACTACGCACGCATTTAGAAGCCTGGTAGTTTGGTGGTGCCTGGCTCCAGTTGGGCCTGGTTTAATTTGGCCTGGTTTCAGCTACGCGCGAATTTAGTTAAGCTAGCAAGTTTAGTCAAGTCTTGTGATTAAGTGAAGGCTGGTTGTAGCTGGGCCTGGTTTGGGGCAGGCCTGATTTCAGCTACGCGCCCATTTAGTTAAGTCGATACACTCAGTTGAGCCTCGTGGTTCAGTTGAGCCTGGTTCTAGCTGGGCCTGGTTTCAGGTAGCTTATGTTCAGCTTCGCGCGCATTGAATTAAGCTTGGTATTGGAGCTGAGCTTGGTGATTCAGTTGAGCCTGGATGTAGCTGGGCCAAGTTCTAGTTAGGACTGATTTCTGCTACGCGCGCATTTAGTTAATCCTGGTGTGGTAGTTGAGGTCGGGTGAATTAGTTAAGCCTGGTTGCAACTTGGCCTGGTTTTGGTCAGGTATGGGTTCGACTGCGCGCGCATTTAGTTAAGCCTGGTATGTTTGTTAAGACTGGTGGCTTAGTTAAGTCTGATAATAGCTGGTATTAAGTAGAAGTGGTTTCAGTCACGCGCGCCTGTCATTAAGCCTGGTACTTTAGTTAGGCCGGGTGGTATGGTGAATCCTGGTTGTAGCTGGCTCTGCTTATAGCAAAACCTGATTTCAGCTACGCGCGCATTGAGCTAAGTCTGTCATTTGAGTTACGCCTGGCTGTTTCAATTCAGCCTGGACCAAACTGGATATGTCTTTGGTTGGGCCTGAATGAACTACGCGCGCATTTCGTTCAGCCTTGTATCTTAAACCTGGTGGTTTAGTGAAGTCTGGTTGTAGCTGGGCCTGCTTTTGGCTAAACCTGATTTCAGCTACGCGCGCATTGAGTTAAGCCTGTCAGTTGAGTTACGTCTGGCTGTTTCAATTCAGCCTGGATCTAGTTGGGGATGGCTTTCGGCAGACATGATTTCAGCTTCGCGCGAATCTAGTTCAGCTTGGTATTCTAGTTAAGCCTTGTGATTTATTGAAGCCTGGTTGTAGCTGGGCCTGGCTTTAGTTAGGCCATATTTCAGCTGCGCACGCGTTTAGTTGAGGCTGGTAGTTTAGTTTGCCTGGCGATTTCGTTGAACATGGTTGTAGCTGGGCCTGGTTTCAGGGGGGCCTGATTTCAGCTGCGCGCCCATGTTCAGTTAAGCCTGGCATTGCGATTATGCCTGGTGGACTACTCAAGCAGCTGGGCCTTGTTACAGTTATGCCTGGTTTCAGCCACGCGAGCAGCTAGTTAAGCCTGGTATCTTAGTTACGCCTGGTGGTTCAATTAAGCCTGATTGTAGCTGGGCTTGGTTTTAGTTAGCCTGATTCCAGCTGTGCACACATTTAGTTCAGCCTGGTATTCTAGTGAAGCCTGGTGCTAGCTTGGCCTGTTTCTAGCTATGCCTGATTCCAACTACGCGCGCATGCACTTAACCCTGGTATTTTATCTAAGCCCGGCTGTTTCAATTCAGCCCGGTTGTAGCTGTGCCTGGTTTTGTTTGGGCCTGGCTTCAGTTGCTCGCGCATTTAGTTCAACTTGGTATTGCAATGAAGCCTGGTGGCTTAGTTAAGCCTGCTTGTAGATGGGCCTGGATTCACTTAGGCCTGATTTCAGCTACGCGCGCATTTAGTTAAGCCTGGTAATTTAGTTCAGCCTGGTGGTTCATTGGAGCCTGGTTGTTGCTGGGCCTGGTTTTAGTCAGGCCTGATGTCAGCTGAGGGCGAATTCAGTCAATTCTGGTGTTTTTGATTAAGCCTGGTATGTCAATTAAGCCTGTTCGCAGCTGGGCCTGTTTTGGGCAGGCCTGGCTTCAGCCACTGAAGCTCCAGACTAAACTGGAATGCCAGGCTTAACTACATGCGCACATCGCTTAACTCAGTCCTAGCCAAACCCAGGCACAGCTATAACCATGCTTAATTCAATCACCAAGCTTTGGTAAATGCCGCCCATCACTAACTGCGCACGCAGCTGAAATCAGGCCTAACTAAAACCAGGCACAGCTAAAACCGGGCTTAAATGAACCACCAAGCTGAATTAAAATACCAAGCTTAACTAAATGCGCGCGCAGCTTAAACCAGGCCAGACTGAAACCAAGCCAAGCAACAACCAGACTTAATCGAATCATCAAGCTTCACTCAAACACCAGACTTAACTGAATGCGAGCGTAGCTGAAATCAGGCCTGACTAAAACAATAGCTACAACTAGGCTTAACACCTTCACCAGACTTGACTAACATACCAAGCGTAAATAAGTGCGCGCGCAGCTGAAATCAGATCTAGCTTGGGAAAAGGCCCAGCTAGAAGCTAGAACAAGGTTTGAGCACATTACCAGACTTAACTGAAATACCAGGCTTGGCTAGATGCGCGCGTAGCCTGAAATCAAGCCAGGCCCAGCCTCTACCAGGCTTG